CTAGGGCTTTGGACCCTCGCCCCGGTCCCCCTTTTGTCCCTGTGGTGCGGGCTCTCAGTGCCTGGATCCCAGGCCTGCCTCTGCTTCTGATAAACGTTCTTCAGTGGCTTCCTGAGAGAGGGGGATGAACTCATGCGCGGTTCTAGGTCTGGAAATACCCACGTACTCTTACACATGACTGACAGCGTGGCTGGGTGGGGAAGGCGAGCTTGCAAACGATTTCTGTCCCAATGGTGAGGCCCTGCTCCACGGTCTCCCAGTTCCTGACGATGCTGTTGGGATACCTGATGCTGGTTTTCTGTTTGTTCATTTGTTTTTAAAGATTTATTTATTTATTTGAAAGTTGGAGTTACATAGAGAAAGGAGAGGTAGAGAGAGAGGGAGGGAAAGGGAGAAGGAGAGGGAGGGAAAGGGAGAGGGAGAGAGAGAATCAGTCTTCCAAATGCTGGTTCACTCCCCAGTTGGCAGCAATGGCCAGAGCTGCTCTGATCCAAAGCCAGGAGCCAGGAGCTTCCTCTGGGTCTCCCACGCAAGTGCAGGGGCCCAGGAACCTGGGCCATCTTCTACTAGTTTCCCAGGCCATAGCAGAGAGCTGAGCAGCTGGGACTCAAACTGGCACCCATATGGGATGCCAGCACTGCAGGCAGTGGCTTTACCCACTACACCACAGCACCGGCCCCTGCTTGCTTGTTTATTAAGATGTATTTTATTTATTTGAAAGGCAGAATTACAGAAAGGTCTTTCCCTTTGATGGTTCACTTCCCAAATGGCTGCAAGGGCTGGAGCTGGGCTGATCTGAAGCCAGGAGCTTCTTCTGGGGGCCCAAGGACTTGGGTCAACTTTTACTTCTTTCCCAGGCCATGGCAGAGAGCTGGTTCAGAAGTGGAGCAGCCGGGTCTCGAACCGGCATCCATATGGGATGCCGGCACCGGCAGCTTTACCCACTAAGCCACAGCGCCGGCTCCCAGAGCTGTTTTGATTGCTAAGCTTTGTACTGTTTTGTCTCCCTCTGGACTTCCTGTCATGACATTTCACGATTATGGGGCACCACACAGGTTTTGTATTTTTAAACTTGGGAGACTTCCCCAACTTTCTCTTGCAAGTTTCTACTGACTTTATTGCTTGTTTTTAATCTTTCAAGAGTTCTTCCATATCCCTGAGTATTCTATAGCCCCTGTTGTGGTTCTCAACACAAAAGCCTGGGAGTCCTAAAAACCAATGCAGGGGGCACAGCCAGTGAAGCCACCACTAGCAGCAGCAGCGTCCCACGTCAGAGTCCAGCTGCTCGGCTTCCAATGCAGCTCCTGTTAATGTACCAGGAAAGCAGCAAAAGATGGCCAAGTGCTGGGGCCCCTGCACCCATGTGGGAGACCAGCATGGAGCCCCAGGCTCCTGGCTTTAGCCTGGTCCAGTCCTGGCCGTTGTGGTCATTTGGGGAGTGAACCAGTAGGTGGAGGATCTTTATTTTCCTTTCACTTTGTTTTTCAAATAAATCTTCAACAAATAAATACTACATATACAATCAATTCTGCTCAGGGCTTATGATCTGTTAGTGCAGGGTGGGCCCAAGGACGGTTTTGTTGGCTGCCTCACCAGCAGCAGCATGGAAGCCTTGTCACCATGTCCGTGATGTCGCCACTGGACCTGGTACACAGCAGGCCTGCACGGAACACCCGCAGAGTGACACCCGCATGCAACAGGAAGGCAGACTGCTGTGACCAGGGACAGGGACAGCTCTGCTCTCGCTGCTTCCCCTAAATATATCTGAGACTCTAATACTAAGCCCAACAAGCCTCAGATGTCAAAACGGCGCTAACAATCCAGAGAATCGGAAAACGTCATGAAATTCCTTATTTCCCCTGGCCTTCCAGGCGGTCATCAATGGCCTACTTCTTGTGAACTCAAATTTTGTCCAAGTGGAATCACCTTCATCTTAGATTCTGCCGAGACCCCGAGACCTGGTGCCTGGCCATACACCAAGGGATCAGAAATAGCACAGCGGTAGCCAGGGGACCTCACCTCCTGCCCGGGCTGCAGCTTATAAAAGGGCCAGGAGCGCTGCGGCTCACTAGGCTAATCCTTCGCCTGCAGCACCGGCACACGGGGTTCTAGTCCCGGTCGGGGCGCTGGATTCTGTCCCGGTTGCCCCTCTTCCAGGCCAGCTCTCTGCTGTGGCCAGGGAGTGCAGTGGAGGATGGCCCAAGTCCTTGGGCCCTGCACCCCATGGGAGACCAGGAGAAGCACCTGGCTCCTGCCATCGGATCAGCGCAGTGCGCCGGCCACAGCGCGCCGGCCGCGGTGGCCATTTTGGAGGGTAAACCAACGGTAAAGGAAGACCTTTCTCCCTGTCTCTCTCTCTCTCACTGTCCACTCTGCCTGTCCACAAAAACAAAAACAAAAACAAAAACAGGGCCGGGAGCTCTTCAGAGGCCGCTGCTTCACTGCGCCTCACTATGCAGTAAGACAGGTGGTGGGGGCTTCACCCCCAATTCACTACCAGAAGGGCTGCTGGGCCAAAGTGGGAGTCGGAAGAGGCCGGCCAGAGCGCATCTTCCAGAGTACGGGAAAGGCAGGCGGGAGCCAGACCCTGCAAAACACACCGGCAGCACAAGTAGCTCTAAACACACACAGGCTCAGAGCCAGAGGCCATTACACGGGCACAGCCGACTCTGAGCTTTCCTCTCTCCACCTCACCCCTCTTAGCAACATGGCACAGAGGAGGTGACAGCGCAAGGTGCACAAACAAGGCCACGGGCCCAACACTGCTGGCAGACTCCCCGCCCAGCGCAGCGGAGCCGGCTGTGGGCACGGCCACAGGACGGCGGGCCGAATGCTGGCTTCCTTCCCAGTGAGCGTGGCCACGGTGGGACGTCTGGGGCTTAGTGCTTTCCACCTGCTTTCTCCTTTTCTCTCTCTGGTAGTTTGGTAAATAAGCTGGAGCCTGATTTGGGGTGGAGACAGACAACTTAGGTGCTCAATTAAACATGTACAGAGTGCAGCCAGTTTGAAAGGGGGCGAAGTCTATGGAGTCTTTGTGAAGAAATGGTGGCCCCGTGTGAAGGGGACCGCAGAAATCAGACCTGGAGGAAATCCGAACAGGAGTGGGGTGGGCTGGCAGCTCTGACCAGGAAGTACTTGCTGGCAGGATGTGATCTTAGAGGGATGAGGTCAGAGGTCAGAGGTCAGCGTTTGACACTTCAAGTGGTACACGTAACACTGATGCATTTCTGTGTGCCATCTTACCTGCCAAAACCAGTAACCGAGCTACCTGAAGCATACAGAGGCGCTGTAGGCAGGTGCTGTGCGCAGCACACTCCGCAGGGCTGGCATCGGCAGCACTTCCACCGCAGCTCGGGATGCCCACAGTCCCTCCCCTGTCAGTGCCTGGGTTGGAGTCTGGGCTCCGCTCTCCACGCCAGCTTCCTGCAATGCAGACCCCAGAAGGCAGGGACCTGGCACCCAGCGAAGGCCTGGCCATCTTGGCGGATGTGCGAACCCGCAGGTGGGAGATCTTGGTCTCTTCTGTCTCTGCCTGCCTGTCTTTCGAGTGAGTGAATTTTTTAAAAAAGGATGGCTGAGGACTGGGAAGCAGTCCAGACTCTGGATGGAGGGCGTCCTGTCACTTCTCTCTCTGACAATCTTCATGATGCAATGCTGGCAGGGGCACAGCTCTGCTCTTTGGGCAAATGCCCTCCCCCAGGCCTAGCCAGCAGTCTCTGACCTTGACAGCAGCGCATTCCTGTGTGTGTTACCTTGTAAGAACAGAAGTCCTAGGACTTCTGCACATGTAATGCCATTATTTATATCATGCGTCGTCAGGGGTTCCCCTAAAGAGAGCCCGAGCCTCATCTCTCCCTAGGGCCCTGAGGAACACTTGAGGACAGGGAACAGGAAGGAAAGAGAGAGAGTGGCAAGAGCCTGGGGCAAGGGAGGGAACAGGCCCCCAAACCACGCCCTCCCGGGTCCTGGGAACCAGAGGCCGCCCTGAGCCCACGCCTCCCACCTCCTGGAACAGTCAGTGAGGTGACCGCCCCTTCAGGGCTTGCTCCCTGGGCCCACAGGGACCGGGTAAGCAACAGTGGTTTCCCTGAGAATCTTATTTGAAGATTTGGGGGGAAAAGATTGTTTTTGTGTTAAGACAACATGGGTATATTACAGAGTGGGACACTCCCAGTACCATACATTACTACAGATTGTGAAGAAATTCCAAGTCCTTATAAACTACATCTTTGAGCCCCAGGGGACATGTTTCACCCCCTCATGCTGTAAGGAAACATCACTGGACCCACACTTGGATGGTGGCCTTCTGGAGAGGGGGAGGGGCAATGGGGGGGTTTCCAGGTTCACACTACACAGCTTTGAATGGTTTTCCTGTGTAGCAAGAAACAAAGACAAAAAGAAAAATCTAAGGAAAAAGAAACTCATGCGGTCTCTTGGGAGGAAAACCCTGAGGGCCGCTGGGTAATGATGGCCTAGTGCCTCGGCGAGCACTGAGGTCCCGGAGCTCACGGGGAGGACTGAGGGCAGGCGCTGGGCGGTCACCGGGGTGCAGTCGGCTCCCAGGATCTCTGGGTCACTACACTGTTCCTGCAGCGGGCCTCAGGCACGCCGTCCCCACACTCCAGGGCCTCCCTGTCTGCGGAGGGCACGGGGAATAAGAGCTTCTCTATGTGCCTCACTTGCAGTGCATTCTGGGTACTGAGCAAGCACCAAGCACACTCTCTTCCCTTCCCAGTGCAATGTAGTAGGAAAACCCTTTCAAACACAGGCAGACGTGGGACCTCTTACAAGGACTGTCTACGGGCAGAAACCAGGGCAGCAACGACACGCCAAGCCACGGCCAGTGTGGCCACAGGTGCAGTATGCAGCAGGCCGCTCAGGCCACAGCCAGGGTCTAGTGCAGCGCCGGGGGAGGCAGAGGCTTGGTCTTCAGACCATGTGACTGCACAGGAAGAGAGGGGCCTTTTCACCCTAGTGCTTAAAGACACAACAGCACGGTGTGCATTTTGGTTATTTTTAGTTAAAGAAAAACAGCCTTTGCCAAGGGCGACAAGATGATCTGAAGGTCAGAAGGAAGCTGGGTGTGGGCTTCTCACAAGCTCTTGCTCCAAAACGGAAGTGAGAAAGAGGGAGGGCCCTCTTCCAGGAGCTCCAGGGGTGGCCGGCGGCGCAGCAGAGGGGTCCCTGGGGAGGGGTGGGCCGAGCAGCCCGCCCTTGGTCTCAGGTTGGTTTACGCGGGCTGCAAGGCAACTTCCATGCGCCAGCCAGTTGACACAACATTATCTCGTAGGGGCATTAAATTAGGGAATGACAAGGAGCCAAGAGAATGGCTTATTCAGTTGGGTTCTGAATTACAATCAGGAAATAGTCTTTATCTGTAAGAGAAAAGCAGAAACACAAATCACTCAATGTAAAATGGCAGAAACACACAACAGAGTGTGAACAACTCATTAAATCACTGCTCATAACACGGGCGGGGAGGGAAGCAATCAAAGTCGTCCAGGCCTGTGGCCCAGGCCTCCTCCACTGCCAGGAAAACACCCGCAGGCAGGCGCAGCGGCAGAAAGCACAGGCCCCTCCCCCAGCAGCAGGCGCTTGTCTGGGGGGGCGGGGCGGGGCGGGGAGGGGCGGTCCTTCAGTAGAAACATCCCGCTCAGCTGCAGGACTGGTGGGCCCCACCCCCAGGGTCCCTGTTCAGTGGGTGCGGGGTGGAGTCCCAGATTCTGCATTTTTACCAAGCTCCCAGGAGCAGCCAATACTGGGTGAACTAGTGACTCAGACTTCCCCAGCTACTTAGTGTCAAAGGTGGAATTCAATGGCAGTTTGTCACAAGCAGGACCTTCTGCAAAACAAAGTTTCAAAAGTACAGTGTCAAAGTGTGTGGACAAAACTGCTTAGATTCCAGTTCCAGGGATCCAGTCTGGTGAGGAGGGACGTCTACCATGAGTTCACAGCAAGTTCAAGTGCTCAGAGGCGAGCTGACCATGCCCAGACGCAGGCTGTCTCCACCCTGCCCACTTAATCACCCTGCAAACATCTATCGAGGCTACTATGGGCCTGGGCGGACCACTTACGCTGGCCCCCAGTGAATCCGAGTCACTCTAGGTGGGAACTGGTAGCTTTGGGATCCGCATGGAGGAAAGACCTACAGTTCCGGGAATGGAAAGCTCCTACCTGCACTTCTGGGGAAGAAAAGTCCTCATCAAGATCCCTGCGGGGGCCTAAAGGTCAACCAATGAGGATCAGACCCGCCTCAACCTTTAACTCCCATGCCCTGAATCTATAAAAGGAGCTCTCCCAATCTCTGATGCGCGACTTCCCCGGCCCCCACTCTGTTGCCCTGTTGGGACCAGGGGACCTCGCCCGGGAGCGGAACCCCAATAAAAGCCTGTGAATTAACTGATTCGTCTGCCTGGGAAGATCTGTTATGTGCCGGACACCTTGCAGGAACTACTGTTTTCCCATTTTATTGATGGAAACATTGAGCCTCAAAGAGTTAATGACTTGCCCAAGAACCAAGGAAATACACAGTGGGGTGGGGTGCAGTGGAGGAGCAGGCTATGACCCTTACTCTGAGCCCCTCTGGCCTGCTGCCCCCCTGCTGAGCAGAGAGAAATGACAGGAGGACCTCAGCAGGGAAGAAACACATTGAAGTGACTAACAGTTTCATGGCTAAGCAATCCGCGTAAATAACAAATCGCTTATTGATGAAAACAGAAATAACCAGCGAACCGCTGAAAAAAACAGGCATCATCAACAATACCAGTCTTCTCCAAATCAAACTCTCAATCCAGCAAAGCGCCGCCTGCCCTGTGGGAGGTGGTAGTTACAGCCTGTGTACGCGGAGTGCTCAGCTTTGCACCAGTGAATTCCTACGTGAAAAGCAAAAGTGCCTGAAGCCGTCTCTCCACGCGGGCTGCTCTAGCTGAGGGTGGCTGGAACGTGGTTTGCAGCTCAAAGGCCAAACTGAGGCGCCTGCTGCTAGCTTTGGCTTGAGAATCAGCTCCTCGGGCTGATCAGTGAGCAGATGAGGTAGGGAGGGAGGGGCCCGGGACCTGCACCAGGCGCTTGCAGTGCAGGGTGCTGTCGGTATGGCCTTTGGCCAGGGTGGGGCTAAGCTACCAGCCCTACCTAATGCCTCCAAGGCTCTGCTCAGTGGCTCCTGACCACAGGAGTTCTGGTTCTAAAAACCGACTTTTTTTCTTGGCTGCATCAAAGTGGGTTTATCAAAGCACCAAATCATCAGACCTAAAAATCATGGCCCACAGACATCCCCGACCCCACCTCGGACCCACAGCCGTGGGGGTCGTTTAGGAAGTCATTCATTTCTTCAACAAATATCTGTTAAATGCTTACTATGTGCTTACAAGTGCCTGCCTTCAAGGAACTTTCTGTCTAACGGAGGAGACCAGGTTGCAAAGTGCAGGAAGCGGCTGGCTAGCCCAGCGGCAAGGAAGGCGGGCGCTCTGGGAGCAGGGCCCAGGGAGAGGAGTCTAAGGCGACGGTGATCTGAAGAAATGCCCACTGGGTTTAAGGCAAGCTCAGCACATCACACGGGCGCCAGCAGGACAGGCCGTGGGCACGTGAGAAAGAGTACGAGTGAGAGGCGTGCACTCCCCTGGGCCTCCGTGTGCTGTGCAGGGCACTGCTGGCCACCACATCCTCGCCTCCCTGAAAAGGCTGAGGGGCCTCCAGGCCTCTGTGCTCACGGAGGACCCCACTCGGGAGCTACCCACCCTGGGCTGGAGCACCACCACACGCATCGGGCTCTGGGGCCTCAAGGCCAAGGTGGAGAGACACCTTTGTTGATGAGCTGAGACTCTCAGACAACTCCGCCCTTCCGGGTGAGCCACTCTCAGAAGCTCCCGGCCAAGAGACGCTGTCTACGCAGGCTGACTTGCCCTGGCTGCACACTCGGAGCTGGGTGGGTCGGCGGGGAGCGCCGGTCTGCAGAGATGAGTGGAGAGGAGGTTCCTGACCCAACTTTTAGGGAAGTGGAGGTCTCTCCCACAGGCGCACAGCATGGAGTCCCAGATTCCACTGCCGTCCAAACTAGATGCCCAGGCTTCTGCCTCAATCCCATGGGTGCCCCGCGGCGACCAGGGCAGCAAGGCCTCAAGCCGACGCTTTACAGATGAGGATGTGGAGGTGCCCCACGACTCGTCTAGAACAAGCAAAGCCAGGAAAACAGACTCTGCCTCCAGTGCCCCTCCCACCCCATCCCCCCAAGCCCCGACAGCATCAGCCATCAGCTGATCTGTCTCTGCCACATTAAACAGTGCATGGCTTTTGGAATAAATGTTTCTGCAGCTATCCCTAGGTTCCTCTCCCCTCCTGGGAGGGTCCTGGGAGACCACTTGGGGCCTGTGTGTGGCTCTGTGGTTTCCTCCTTCCAGGCAGCTAGAACAGGCACCTCCTGCCCCGCCCCATCAAATTATCTCAGAATCCTGCGCCATTCGCCATTCGTGTTGCTAAGCCTAGGGCACTCAGCGCCCTCAGCCGCCCCACAGCCCTCAGTCACCCAGGCCCGAAACACTGTCATCTCACCTCCCACTCTAAAAACCTCTGCTCATGGGCCAACGTGCACAGCTGAGTTTGTGTTTGAGCTCCCTTCTAATCTGGGCCAAAGTCGCACCTCCTCCTACGCCTTCCTCCACATATTAATACCCCAGAGAAGTGCATCACTACTGAACTACATCATCACATGCACCCTGAACTCACACACATGCAACTGTGTGGCTCAGCCGTCAGAGGAGGAGGAAACAGTGCAGGAGAATCTGTCCACGCCCAGCGCTCACGGAGCGGCAGTGCACGAGAGGTGGCCCTGCTGCGGCTCCTCGGGGGCTCCTCCCAGGCTGAGCATCTCACCCCCCCGAAGGCCTAACAGCAGGCCCTGCTGCACCACACAGTGAGTCCATGGAGAACAAGAAGGAAGCCTGCTCCGGCGCGTGTGGACGGGCTGGCCGCAGCAGGGAGACAGGACTGGACTTTACAGCAGGCCAATCGACGTTTCCCCAAGCATAATGACTACACGGCAGGCTTGCTTTACATTTCGGTTTAGAATCTCTGAATGCTCTTTCCCCCAAACATAACTTCCCCACCCCTCCTCCTCGCTCTGGGCCCTAAGACTCAGCTCTTCCCAGACGCCTTTGCTGCTGGCCCCAGGCAGACCCGATCACACCTCTGTCCTAAATGTTCCTTGAGTTTCCCCACAACAAGGTAGGGGAGCCTGTGGGGCGGGCTTGCATGTCCACCTCCCCATGACACAGCCCACAACTCCTATGGCCTTGAGTCACCGTGAGCGAGAATGTGGGGGTGAGGCTGGCTACTCCAATCCCCCAGGACCCCCGGGCCCTCTGGAGACACCAATGTGCCAGGCCTTCCTGACAGACCACATGTGCTGAGGGCCTGCACCTAATGGGGAGCGGAGAGACCCCTTACCTGGTGCAACCATAATTTCATTTTTCTTGGAGCGAATTCGAAGGAAGGTCAGGTCATTCTGGGGGTCAATTTCACGCACCGTGCTCCGCGCCTTCAAGATGAAGTTGTGCATGAGGTTGGCGTACTGTGTGGTTGTGGGGTTGTCCATGGTGCTCTTGATGGGGATACCTGAGGGTGGAGCAGAAGGAGACTAAGCAGGGTGCTGGGACCCTCTGTGCCAAGTTCCTGACCCCACATGTGCAATCTCCAAGCAGTGGACTAGCAGTTAACCATTTACCCAGGCCTTGCAATGAAGCAGGCACGGCACTGGGCACCAGAAGCGTGTCAGCACCAGGCCCAGACTACTCTGTGGGTGGCATCACCAACCTCATTTGCCAACGAGATAAGCCTGAGGTGTGAAGTGACCTGCCTCCGGTCACACAGTAGATCAGCAAAGGGCCAGGATTCCAATGCAGGCCTGAGGACTCTCTTCACAGGCCCACTCAGCCTGACTGGTTTCCAGCCATAAAGAAATGCTCCTTCATAACCCTTAGAACCTGAGCCAGGGTAACAGCTTTTTTTTTCTTTTTTTTTTTTGGACAGGCAGAGTGGACAGTGAGAGAGAGAGACAGAAAGAAAGGTCTTCTTTTTCCGTTGGTTCACCCTCCAATGGCTGCTGCGGCTGGCGCGCTGTGACTGGCTCACCACGCTGATCCGATGGCAGGAGCCAGGTGCTTCTCCTGGTCTCCCATGGGGTGCAGGGCCCAAGCACTTGGGCCATCCTCCACTGCACTCCCGGGCCACAGCAGAGAGCTGGCCTGGAAGAGGGGCAACCAGGACAGAATCTGGTGCCTCGACTGGGACTAGAACCCAGTGTGCTGGCGCCGCAGGCGGAGGATTAGCCTAGTGAGCCGCGGCGCTGGCCAAGGATAACAGCTTTTACACACTTGTGAGTACTGCAAAGGAGGGAAAAAAAGGCCAGCTTCTGCCCGGGCCATAACCATCGCTGTTCCCACCCAGGGCAGTCTTGGGACCAGCTACAAACAGTCTACACAGACGCTCACAGACCCACTGCCACCCCTTCACAGAGCCTCCCAGTGGCCAGGCCACAGAGCTCACCCCACTTGTCTGGGGTTGTGCACTTGGGCTGGACTTTTTACTACTGTAATTAGCTGGGCAACGAAGCTTATTGTGCATCAAGCCTTTGGAGGATTGTTTCCTCGACATCAAGGAAATAACTTTTTTTAAAGTTTTTATGTACCTAGCTTCCATTTGCTGGTTCACTCCTCAAATGCCTGCAAAATGAGGGCTGGTCCAGGTTGAAGTCAGCAGCTGGAAACTCCACCCAGGTCTCCCATGTAGGTGGCAGGGACCCCAGTACTTAAGCCATCACGTTTCCCAGGGGTGCATTAGCAGGAACACAGAACCAGGAGAGGAGCCAGGACTCAACCCGGGCTCTCCAATAGGGGATGCAGCACCCCGGAGTCTCAGCTGCTGTCTTGAATGGCCACCCCAAGATAAACCATGAAATGGGCCTGCTCACCACACGGTGCCCGCTGTCATGCAGGTGAGGGACGTGGATCAACCAGAGCCACCTCAGGCCATGAGAGCATCAGGTGCCTGCGACTGGTCACGACCAGCTGGCAGAAGTTTCCATTCATCAGACTCCAAGAGCAAAGCAGCTACGATTCACGTCGGAAGAATGTGGCACCGGCGGCTTCCAGGACCTGACTAATCTGGCCCACAACTGACCAGCCTACGGATCAGCCAGACACAGTCGACCTCAGGGTTGCTTGCCGGGCAGCAAGAAACAGCAGTCAACAGGAGAGGACATGGTGGAAGAGGATGTGAGGGGCTGGCACTGTGGTGTGGCAAGTAAAGCCGCTGCCCACAATGCCGGCAACACATGAGCGCCGCACGTCCCCGCTGCTCCACTTCCCATCCGGCTCCCTGCTAATGGCCCAAGTGTTTGGGCCCCTGCCACCCACGTCAGCAGCTCTGGCCATGGTGACCAAGTTGGGAGTGAACCAGAGGGTAGATCTTTCTTTATCCTTCTCTCTCTGTAACTCTGATTTTCAAAGAAAACCAATCTTAGAAAAAAGAAGAAAAAAAGCAAGAAAGTTGAGTGAGAGGCTGTGTGGGTCAGGTGCGGTTTCGAGAATGGGTTGTTGTGGTCACCAGAGGACCAGGTCACCATGCTGCTGGGTCCTGAATGGCAACAATGTGCACACCAGGCGCCCACGGGGCCCCACTCTAGAGCTGCCCCCTTGGAGGACGGCAGTGTGAGCCGTGTGTCTATCACAATCTCGCCACGATGGTGCCAATGACGGAGGCAATCCCGAGAGCTGATGACCTGGGCCCGTGCCCAGGCTCTGCCCCCTCACAGCTGTGGAGCCTTGGCAAGTGATTCAATTTCTCCAGCCTCCACTGCCTCACCTGTAAAATAACACCTGTTCTTCCAAGTGCTGCTATGAGGATGAATACGCACTTAATCAATGTTGTTTTTTTTTAATTAACATCATCACATGATAAATCCCATTCCTGATAACCTGAGGGGATGTGACTTTTCCTTAAATCTGTAAAGGCCTTGCTACCAAGTAGCCCATCTGCTGAGGGCCAGGACCAGAGCCCAGATGGGGTCTTGGGCTGGCTGCCTGGCCAGAAACCCTCCCCTGAGCTCAGTGCTGGCCCCCGTGCTAAAAGACCTACCCGTCTCAAGGCTTGGCACAGTCCAGCAGATCAGACCCTCCCTCCTCCTGCACACCACAGACTACCTCCCTGCAGACCCCTCAGCCTGGAATTCTTCTTTCTCCCACTCACTCATGACTGCCCCAGTCCTTCAGGTCTCCATTTTTTTTTTTTTTAAAAGACTTATTTGTTCATGTGAAAGGCCAGAGTTAGAGAGAGAGGGAGAGACACAGAGACCTTCCATCTCCCCAGATGGCCACAATGGATCTGCGTTCTCCCCATGGGTGGCAGAGACCTTAGCGCTCGGGCCATCTTCCGCTGCTTTCCCCGGCGCAGAACCTCTGATATGGGATGCCGGCATTGGCAGGTGGTGGCTTAGTCGCCTAAATTATGATGCTGGCCTAGGTCTCCACCTCCTGATTATACTCCACCTCCCCTCCGTGGTGGTCAGTGCCCCCACTCTAATGGTCCAAGCACCACCTAATTTTCTCTTTTGTTTTTTAATTTTAAAGTTCTTATTTAATGATTGGAAGGCAGAGTGACAGAGAGAGGGGGAGATGCAGAGACGAGATCTTTAATGTGATGGTTCACTTCCCAAGTGCCTGCAACAGCCAGGGCTGGGTCAGATTAAAGCCCGGCGCCAGAAACTCCATCTGTGTCTCCCACGTGGCTGGCAGGCAGTATTTGAAGCACCACCTGCTGCCTTTAGGTGCATTAGCAGGATGCTGGCTTGGAAGCAGGGGCAGGATTTGATGCCAGGCCCTGATATGAGACGTGGGTGTCTCAAGCAGTAGCTTGACCCACTCCACCACACCTCCCGCCCCCACCATTTTCTCTTGGAGCAGTTACCTGAATTTGACACCACCTGTCATGGAATGATCATTCTGTACACTCCCCATCAGAAGGGAAGCGCTCTGAGTGTAGGACCAAGTCTGATGTGCTCACCACTGTCCTTGGAGAGACTCCCCTAAGCATTATTGCGGTTGTCTCAAGGGTCTACTTTCAGAGGTTCTGACAAATACTGACATGCATTTGGTCACGTCTGTTCAAATAAGCATTGTGTAATGCAGATAAGAAACGACCGTTTGTTGGTTTCTTCTAAAACAAAGAAAACGGAGGTGTAGGGGCAGGGACCAAAGCTGGGAAGAATTTCAAGCAAGAGATTAATTTCAGACTCACAGGATGCCAAAGCTGGAGGAGACCTCAAACATAATTATTAGGCCACCTCATTCAAACTTCTGCCTCTGTAAATGGAGACTGTGTAGCCTGCAGACGTAGTTGGTTACTGGGGAGGCGCGGTTCCTAACCCTCGGCCTGGACCTGACAGGCTGTGCACCAAGCCCTCCTGCTCTGCCCAGCTCTTGCAAACAGTAAGAAAAAGGAATCTGAAAAAGTGAACAGATGTTTTTATCAACTCTAAGCTAGCACTATTCTAGGTACCGGGAATATAGAATGAACACTAGACACAAATCTCTCACAGGCTTACATATCTGAGTCTTATTTTGCGCTGTGTGGGTAGCAGCAGGATGGCAGAGGGTCTGGATAGGTATAGAAAGAAAGGATCCTGTATCTTCCAGATGGTCCCAGCCCTTCCTCCAAGGAAAGCTCCCAGAATTCTCTCCCCTCAGGGCCAAATGAATTACCTGACCTGATAACATGGCACAATAAAGCCCTCACAGATGCCCTAGGGGAAGCCCCTCTGCTCTGCCCAGCTCCAGCAAACCTGGGGAGGAATTTGCTAATTTACTCTCCACAAAACTCTTTATCCCAGGGGTTGGTGCTGTGGCACAGGGTGTAAAGCTGCTGCCTGCAGTGCCTGCTCCCATATGGGCACTGGTTCGAGTCCTGGCTGCTCCACTTCCAATCCAGCTCTCTACTATGGCCTGGAAAAGCAGTGGAAGATGGCTGAAGTCCTTAGGCCCCTTGCACACATGTGGGAGACTCTGAAGAAGCTCCTGGCTTCAGATGGGCGCAGCTCTGGCCGTTGTGGCCATCTGGGGAGTGAACCAGCGGATGGAAGACCTCTCTCTCTCTCTGCCTCTCTATAACTCTGCCTTTCAAATAAACAAATCTTTAAAAAACAAACAAACAAAAAAACCCAACCTTTATCCTAAAGGAGAAGGGGGAGGAGGTAAACAGACTTCCTTAAAAACCAGTAGTCTAAACAAAGCCTTCGCACTCAGCTCTCTGCGAGCCGCCCGCCTGGCCTGCCCAGGTGTGTTCTCCCCATTCAACCACGCAACCTTGCTTTCCCCCAAGTCTGAGTGACTGGGCGCCCTCTCTCAGGTTCTGTCTGGAGCGGTGCCCGTTCACTCTTACAGATGTCCTACCCTGATAAACCTTGCTACTTTGCTTTCCACTGATCTCTGTCTCACACCTGAGTTCTTTACCGCGTGAAGAACCCATGGCTTTTCTCCAGAGACACCTGAACTTCTTTCTGGGTCTGTTTCCTCATTTATAAAATGGAGACATTAACAGTTCCATCCTCAGGGGGCTGCCTTAAGGATTAATTGAATTAGTCTATGTAAACTTACAGTTATACCTGGAAAAGAGTATTATTATTTTCAATCATGCTACTATTCTAGGTATTATCTGATTATTAAATCAATGACTACGGCATCTAATGTGATCACAGAAGTTTCTTTCTCCCTTTGGGATTATCTCCTTGGAACACATTTCTTAAAATGGAACTGTTAGGCTGTTAGGTAGGAAGTCCGTTATGAGCTTATGTGTGTGTGACATAAAGGCCTAAAGAGAAGACATCTATGTCCAGCATATGTACCTGCTGACAATGTTTCAGGGGCAGCCCGGTATTCACATCATGCCCTGCCCCCTTCTACCTGATAACCTGCCAGGTGGAGATCCCCGCCCCTTCTGCCTGACAAATCTTCCACAATCTCCCACGCGCAGCCCAGTATCTGCATTTCAAACACCCTGCTCTGGATCCCCATTCTCCAGGGGGTCTTGCTCACCCTTCCTCTAAACTCAGGTAGAAAACTCAGATAGAAGCTTTTCTATTTACATCCAAAAAGCCCTTTGTTCCAAGAGGAGCAGAGGTGGGGAAGCAAGACCCATCTCCTTAGCGCCCCCCCCCCCCCAACTTGACGGCATGCTCAGCCCCTCTGCCTTTCTGCTGAGCCGTCCGCCAGGTCTGGCCAGGTGTAATCTCTCTACTCAACCATGTAACCTCGCCCCCCCCCCCCCCCCCGAAAGTCCGAGCGACTAGGCACTCTCTCAGGCTCTGTCTGGAGAGGTGCCCATCTTTCCTTACGGATGTCCCTTCCCTAATAAACCTTGCTATTTTACCTCCCGCTACTCTCTGTCTCACGCCTGAATTCTTTCTTGTGCGAACACAAGAACCCTGCAATTTCTGGGTGCTGACACAACCACTCACTGTGTGGTCTGTTCACTCAACAAACATTTTCTGACCTGAATCCATTGGTTGTGCCGGATGGACACTGGGAACCAAGGTGAGTCAGACATGGTCCAGGCTTTCCCAACCTCTCCGACCAAGCTGCTGGTGTCAGCAGCAATGCGCCAGTGCACCTGTCCCCACCTAATCACACACGGGCTTGACGGCTTTGTGTACTCTAGTAGGGTAGTTTTTTAAAAAAAGATTTATCTATTTATTTGAAAGGCACGGAGGGGTGGGGGGAAGGAAGGCAGAGGGGATAGTTTTTAAATTTGCCAAACTCTCTCCCCAAATTGAAACAGCACTAGAGCACAGTAGGTAAAGCTGCTACCTGCAGTGCTGGCATCCCATGTGGGCGATGGTTCAAGTCCCAGCTGCTCCATTTCTAATCCAGCTCTCTGCTATGGGCTGGGAAAGCAATGGAAGATGGCCCTGCACCAATGTGAGACCCGGAAGAAGCTCCAGGGGCCATTAGGGGAGTGAATCAGAGATGGAAGACACCTCTCTCTCTCTCTCTCTCTCTCTGCCTCCATGTAACTCTGCCTTTCAAATAAATAAATAAATCTTTAAAGAAAAACAACCACTAATGCAGAAATGCAAACTAAGAGATCAGAGTGAGACTCACTGCACTGAATAAAGTGAAGACCAGGGCTCTGGGCCTCCACCTCTCTCCTAGGGACAGCAGAGCACCCCAGGTAAAGGGGAAACGGCCTGGAGGCTGAAATCTCTCAGAGGCAGACTTCAGATGGACACACATCTGCTGTGAGCCTCAGGCCTCGGGCTCTCACTGCAGCCTCTTCTGATTAGAAATTGCCTGCAAAACAGAATCCTCCAAATGCGTCTACCCTAGGAATCTCCTTTGGTGCTTTCCAAGGCCTCACCTTAGTCCTAGGTAAGTCAGACTTTCTAATCGAGAGTCTGTGTGTTTGCCAAGAGCCCCAGCTGATTCTAGTGAATGAATAAATCTGGTCACCACTGTGGCCCAGAGGGACGAAGCATGTGGACTCCAAGGCCCCAGCGGGATCTGACCAGGTAAATGGGCTCATGTAAATCAGTGCCTTAGAACTAAGAACTAATGCTGACAATACTGTGCTACATGCTTTCTGTCACTCCTTTTCAGTTTATCTTTTGTCACCCTATAAGGCCAATGTGATTATTTGCCACATTTATAGGCTTAAGGACTTGCCCAAAGACACAAGGCACGATTCAAATTCACAACTGCTGGGCTCCAAGTTGATGCTATTCAGCTGCCTGGTGTGGCAGTCTGAGGCCACAGCACAGCAACCCCTCTGATGATCACATCCTCCCTCTGTAATGGCAAGTGAGTCAATTAAACTGCAAGACTCAGTTTTCTCCACTGCAACGGGACTGCTTTAGGGGATAAATGACAGCATGTTCCTAAAGTACCAGCCTGGGGCACACACCAGTGTGTATAAGTGTTAGTTCCTTTCTTCACCATGTCTAGAACAGTTTGGAAAAATTAGTATCTGTACCCTTTTAGTTGTTCAAATAACTTTCCAAAAGAGGGGGTGAAGCTATGGACACAAAGAAGCCAACCAGAGGATTATCTGGCAAAGGAGCACGGGACAGGGCAGGCACTCAACACAGTGGTTAAGATGCACGCATGCTATTTCAGAACACAGAACCACCTGTGCTCAAGACGGGCTCTGCTTCTGACCCAGCTAGCGGCTAATGTGCACCCCGATGGCAGCAGGTGATGGCCCAAGTACTTGGATTCCTGCCACCCGTGTGGGAAGTGTAGATGGGGTTCCAGGCTCCTGGCTTTAGCTTGGCTCAGCCCTGGCTACTGCAGCCCTTTGAGGAGTGACCCAGAGGTTGGAAGATCTCCATGTCTTTCTGCCTTTCAAATAAACTTTAAAAAGAAAACTCATGAGACTCGTGTTATGGTATAACATGCAAAGCTGCCACCTGAGATGCAGGCACCCCATATGGACACCGGTTCAAGTCCCGGCTGCTCCACTTTGATCTAGCTCTCTGCTAATGTGCCTGGGAAAGCAGCAGCAAATGGCCCAAGTGCTTGGGCCTCTGCACCCACATGCAAGACCCAGAAGAAGCTTCTGGCTCCTGGCTTTGGCCTGGCCCCAGCCCTGGCTGTTGCAGCCATTTGGGAGGTGACCAGCAGATGGAAGATCTTTCTGTCTCTCCAAGTTTCAAATAAATAAAAATAAGTAAAATAAATCTAAAAAAAAAAAAAAAAAGACAGGTGTAAACATATGCAAAAGAATAACAACTATGGCTCTGTCCATCAGCAACATGCCCATCGGTCACAAGGGCTGAAAACACATGGAATACAGAAAAGTGTGATTTGTGAGGGAAATGGGACTAACTGAATATTTCCTTTTTTAAAAAAATTTAGAATTCCTGGGGCCGGTGCTGTGGCGCAGCGGGTTAAAGCCCTGGCATGCAATGCCAGCATCCTATATGGGCATGGGTTCGAGTCCTGGCTGCTCAACTTCCGATCCAGATCCTTGCTAACGTGCCTAGGAACGCAGCAGAGGATGGCCCAAGTGCTTGGGCCCCTGCACCCACGTGGGAAACCCGAAAGAAGCTCCTGGCTCCTGGCTTCAGATTGGCTCAGCTCTGGCCATTGTGGCCATCTGGGGAGTGAACCAGTGGATGGAGGATCTCTCTCTCTCTCTGTGACTCTGTCTTTCAAATAAATAAAATAAATCTTTAAAAAACATATTTAGAATTCCAGTAATAACTATAGAAAAATGCTTAACGTTAGATCAGGTACACGAAGTGTATGCTGTGCCAGCTGTTTTCTGGGGCCTACACGGGTGTAGGTCAAGACCGGAGGGAGGGCATACCTTCTGTGTTCACCACAATGATCCCCTGCACCCCCTTCTGGCTCTGAAGTCTCTTCAGTGTCTCCTCCACCTCCGCCTGCCAGAAAAACAAGACCACGGTTAGAGAGGCCAGGTAGGCTGCGCTACCTTCCTCACACCCCACACAGATGAATCAGACGTTTACCTTCCATCAGCGAACAAGGGACACCCGGCACTGGGCACCTCCTCAAAGTTCCCCAGGCCTGGACCCCAGAAGAGCAAGTGTTCACACCTCCAGCATGGAGCTGGGCAGCTTCCGGCCTGCAGCCCCTTACTGTTCCCCCCGCAGCTATCTGGCAGAATAGAAATATCATTCCTGGAACTATATACATCTCTGTGACTCATGTATTTGGTAGAGCTGGGAGACAGGATCTGAAAAAACCCAAACAGTGGTGTCTAACAGGAAGAAGACACTTTGTTATTTGTGGTCCAAATGAGAACACTTCAAAGGAAGCAAAATGACCCCATGAGGACAGACTTGGTGACTTAATAAGCTGGCATGTGCAACAGCGTGACCCATGGCGCACAGCCACAGGGAAGGGGCTCGTTAACCCTGATTACGAGAAGTCAGAGGAGGACATTCTGGCAGATGGGATTTACACACAGAGGGGATCAGATGTTCTCACCCTGCCGTACAGCGCCTCCGACATGATCACCCCCGCTTACTCTCTCCCCCTAGGCTGCATCTGAGCATGCACCACCCCTCCCCATCTGCACGTCTCTCCATCCTACAAGGCCTCTTCTCTGCAGAAATCCAACACGTTCTCCCAGACCATCTAAGACAGCGTCTCCTCTGTGAAGCCTTTATGGATCCTCAACTCAGTCTCTGCCTGCCTTTGACCCCCAAACCCCTGGCCATGCCTTGCGGGCACATGCACTCAGCATGACTCCTTACAGCCTCTACAACGGCCTGTGGAGCAGGAGCTCAGTAATCAGCTGTGTAACCAAACGAAGCCTAACTTCCCATGGACGGAAACCGGCTTTGTAGTGTGCTTGTTCTCATCAGGCGCCTCTACACTCGGCCAGAAGGTCCTCAAAGGCCGAGGGTTGTTGTAAACAGAAAGAACTGCTCCCTACTCCAGAGGGGTGGCTCCTACACATGGGGTGGAGACGACACAATGAATCACTGGTTTTCTGGAAGGCACAGGGCTGACAATGCAGTCACCACCACCCACTGCTCAATGATGTAAGGCTCTCAAATGCTGGAACGGGCCGGCGCTGCGGCTCACTAGGCTAATCCTCCACCTAGCGGCGCCGGCACACCGGGTTCTAGTCCCGGTTGCCCCTCTTCCAGGCCAGCTCTCTGCTGTGGCCCGGGAGTGCAGTGGAGGATGGCCCACGTGCTTGGGCCCTGCACCCACATGGGAGACCAGGAAAAGCACCTGGCTCCTGGTTTCGGATCAGCGCGGTGCACCAGCCGCAGCATGCTGGCCGTGGCAGCCATTGGAGGGTGAACCAACAGCAAAAAGGAAGACCTTTCTCTCTGTCTCTCTCTCTCACTATCCACTCTGCCTGTCCAAAAAAAAAAAAAAAAAAAAAAAGCTGGAATGAAGGGCATTGGCTTGAGCTGCTGCAGCCCAGAGCCTGGATAAAAGGTGGCCCCGAGGCTGGCACCGTGGCTCACTAGGCTAATCCTCTGCCTTGTGGCGCCGGCACACCGGGTTCTAGTCCTGGTCGGGGCGCCGGATTCTGTCCCGGTTGCCCCTCTTCCAGGCCAGCTCTCTGCTGTGGCCAGGGAGTGCAGTGGAGGATGGCCCAAGTGCTTGGGCCCTGCACCCCATGGGAGACCAGGATAAGTACCTGACTCCTGCCATCGGATCAGCGCGGTGCGCCGGCCGCAGCGGCCATTGGAGGGTGAACCAACGGCAAAGGAAGACCTTTCTCTCTGTCTCTCTCACTGTCCACTCTGCCTGTCAAAAAAAAAAAAAAAAAGGTGGCCCCGAGACTACAGGGTAGTGAAGTCCCCATGTATGAGGGCCTTGGTCATTCAGCAGACTTTCACTGACTTCCTACTATGTGCTAGGTGCTATTCTGCAGGGCAGGGGAAAGTACGACCTGGTCTCACCTGGTAACCCCCCAGAAATTCATCCTAAGGAAGGAAACAATAAAAAAAGAAGGAAAAACAAAAACACAGCAACATACTTGCTGCAGTGACATTCGCAATAGTGAAATGCATAAAGAATTTAAAATGTCCAACAATTAGGGGGCCGGCGCTGTGGCGTAGCAGGTGAAGCTGCCGCCTGCAGTGCCGGCATCCCATATGGGCACTGTTCGAGTCTCGGCTGCTCCACTTCTGATCCAGCTCTTTGCTATGGCCTGGGAAAGCAGTATAAGATGGCCCAAGTTCTTGGGCCCCTGCACCCGTGAGGGAGACCCGGAAGAAGCTCCTGGCTCTTGGCTCTGGATTGGCACAGCTGGATTGGCCATTGCAGCCAATTGGGGAGTGAACCAGCAGATGGAAGACCCCCACCCCTCTCTCTCTGCCTCTCCTCTCTCTATGTAACTCTGACTTTCAAATAAATAAATAAAAATCTTTAAAAAAAAGTTCAACAATTAGGGAAAATGCAAAGAAAATTGTAGACTATCAGAGGAATACAATACATACATTAACAGAAGTGATACTATATCACCATAAAATGTAACAATGTTACTGTCATGTAACAGTGAGGGAAAATAGCAAAATGTAAACATAACCTGTGTGGTGACAATAACAGCATGAAAACGGGGGACTAGAGATTATTATAAAAAGAAGGCAGGGGAGGAACCACATTCAGAACAGAAAAACTTAGGATTCTTCCCCCCTCCCCAAAAAACAGCCCACTTATTCTGTTGTGTTTTGTCGGTTATAATACTTTTATTTATTCATTTATTTGAAAGACAGAGTAAAAGAGACAGACGGACAGACACACATGCACAGACAGATCTTCTATCCACTGCTTCATTCTTCAAATAGCCAGCACTGGGTCAGGCTGAAGCCAAGAACCTAGACCTCAATCCAGTCTCCCGCACAGGTGGCAGGGCCCCAAGTACTCGGGCCATCACCTGTGTTTCCACACTGTGCATCAGCAGAAGCTGGATCAGAAGCAGAAAAATGCACTCACAGCCAGGCACCTGAAGAAGGGCTGCAGGCACCTTAACCACAGTGGTTTATTCTTACATTCTATCTTTATGTTGAAGTAAGAACAGAGAACAACTTGGGTGACAACTCAGGACAGCTCAGTCAACCCGTGCTCAACCCAGGACAGGAGAAAACAAGCTAAAACCAAAGCTGTCAGAATCCAGGTCCATAATACGCCCTGGAGGCTTGCACTGGGGCAGCAATGATAAAGGTGAAATCTCCTAGGACTATCATTCTTTCAGTAACTGGAGGGACACCATCTGTGTGTCAGACATTGTCTTAGGCTTGAGAATGCTGTAGTGAACAAAATGCAACAAAAAGAACAAAAAAGAAGTAAAACATATGCCAGCTGCAGTAGGGAAGAGGGGTCTAGAACGCAAGGGCTGATGGGAATCTCTTGTGCATGGCTCTGGCTGCTGTGCAGAGAATGGACTGCAGGGGGCACACACAGCCTGCAGGGTATCCTATACCCCAACAGTAGCCCGTGCTCACTCACGAAACTCCCATCCCTTCAGATTGGGCCTCTCCCTGGGCCGCGTGGCATTCAGCCATGGAGTGTAACTGTCATTTCCCATCTCCTCCCTGGGAGCAGGGACTTGGGCTTTACAGCTCCAGGACCCGGCAGAGGACAGGCTCAGGAAACACCTAAGGGGCAAACGAGAAGCATTTCTGCAGCTACATTTCACAAAGTCAATGTTTTAAGTGTGTGTGTGGGGGTCACGGCTTCACAGTACCACTATGAAATGAGCTATATGATCCTAAGTTTAATGAGAATCAGTCACAAGATCTGGTTATTTAAAAAGTAAACTCAGTGGCTGGGGCTGTAGCCTAGCAGTTTAAGCCACCACATGGGATGCCAGCATCCCTTTTCAGAGTGTTGGTTTGTGGGGCCAGCGCCGTGGCACAGTAGGCTAATCCTCCGCCTGCGGCACCAGCATCCCATATGGGCACCGGTTCTAGTCCCAGCTGCTCCTCTTCCAATCCAGCTCTCTGCTATGGCCTGGGAAAGTAGCAGAAGATGGCCAAGTCCTTGGGCCTCTGCACCCACATGGGAGACCCTGACGGAGTTCCTGGCTCCTGGCTTCAGTCTGACCCAGACTTGGCTGCTGCGGCCATCTGCAGAGTAGCCAGTGGATGGAAGTTTTCTTTCACTGTCTCTCCCCCTCTCTCTGTTGCTCTGCCTTTCAAAATAAATAAATGAATCCTTACTAAAAAAAATAAAAAAGTAAAGACACTTGTCAGGAAAAGGAGGATACACAGCACACACTTATCTATTCAGTACCATTACTGTTCGTATACTTGCAGATACATGCTGTCACCTGAATCTCTCACGTGCCTTTCATGCTTAGCATCATTTCCACATTGCACAAGAGGAAGCTGAGGTTCACAAAGGAGCAGGGTTTTACCCCAAAACACACAGCAGGTCAAGAGAAGGGCTAAGGGGCGGGCATGGCGAGTTAGGTTACCGCTGCAGTGCTGGCATCCTATGTGGGTGCTGTTTGTGTCCCAGCTGCTCTACTTCTGATCCAGTTCCCTTGGGAAAAGTGGCAGATGGCGGCTCAAGTGCCTAGGCCCCTGCTATCCACAGGGGAGACTTGGAGGAGGCTCCTGGCCTCTTGGCTTTGACGTGACCTAGCCTTGGCCGTTGCGGCCTTCTGGGGAGTGAACCAGCAGATGGAGGATCTCTCTCTCTCTCTCTCCTTGTCTCTCCCTCTCTTTGTGGCTTTTTCAATAAATAAATAAATCTTAAAAAAAAAAAAAAAAAAGGTCAAAATGAATGAGGTTCCTGCCCTCAGGGAACTCTCATTCTGGTCGAAGATCCTTAAGATTCTTGCATGGTCCAGGAAGGGAGCTGGGGAGCAGGAGATGCAACTTTGGCTAGTATGGTCAGGAACACCTGAGGATATAGTCTTTAAGCCAAGAACTAAATGATCAAAAAG